CTCTGTAAATGTTAAAAGGAGTTCAGTCTAGACCTGCTCTATTTGAAAAGTGTCCTGAGATAACTTCTGTTATGAATTGAAATGGAAAAACTCTCTATCAGCCATCAGATTATATAAAGTCAAGCCTGTTACGCAACCTTTACGGTCACATTTGGTGTTTTGGCAGAGCCACACCAGAGGGACAATATCAAAACATTGATTCGTCTCACACTGCAGCACCATTAGTCAATGTGGACATAGCAAGGGCAAACTGTTGGATGGATGAAGTGATAGAGGTACTGTATAGAAGAGTGGTAGGATAGTAAAATCACACGACATAAAATCACAGGTAACAGTGCTGCTTACAAAAACATAATTTTAAAACACGATCATCTAAGCCATCTAAGACATAAAGTCTAAAATCTTAAATATTCTAAATCGGTGTAGAGAAATTATAGGAATACTATATATCGCCTGTAGAAATTTATGGTAAATGGACTGTAATTGTATAGCGCTTTCTAGTCCTTCCGACCACTCAAGCGCATTTTTCACATACATGCCATTCACTTTTCAGACGACATTTACAGCGATGGCAAAGCCCATCAAACAGAACTAATTCATTCATACACCAATATGTAAGCCATTCGGGGTTCAGTATCTTGCTCAAGGACAATTTAACACGTGGCAGGAGGAGCCGGGGATCAAACCAACAACCTTCCGATTGGTGGACAACCCACTCTGCCCCTGAGCCACAGCCGCTCTTTATCTATTTATTTTACTTAATTTAACTAGTGGTCTAGCTTTTTTTATGTTTTAGTACTTGTTGATAGTATTTCCCACCCAATGAATGCTCTAACATGTCTCCTGCTCATGAAATATATTTGACATAATCAAAATTGTATTTCATGTAGGCTTCTTATCAATCCATCTGAAACACTGAGCTTAACAGTTCCTTTTATCAATGCCAGCATGTTTTTCAGACCATAGCACATTGCAAATCATTGTCATAAATCTCATGCTTCTGTGCTGCTAGAAACCTGCAACAAGAAGGAGTCATGGAGGAGCAGAAGAAACATCTTCACAACAAGAAACAAGGAAGTAAGTTTGCTACAAGGATTGGTTAACTTTGAGGTTTAGTTGCGGTGATCATCATCATTGTTTGACTAGTGATGTAATGTGATATGATGTGATTAGAGTCTAACCCGTGTGAGGTCCATGCCCAGTTTGAGCTGGGAAAGGAGGTGAATGATGATGCTTCGCTGGTCATCCAGAACTCCCAGGTCCTCTTCCTCATTAACCTCTGTGTCTGTGGTCTCATCGCTTGGATCCAGGGTTTCTGGGCAATTAGGCTGGTCCCGTTGCTGTCCCTGTTGGTGGAGACACAAGTAACCATTGGTATAGCTAGCAAGAAAGTTAGGCTGTGAATATCCTAAAGGTCAGTTTGTACAGTCAAGTTTCAAACAATGTCTCACTACAATGAAATGGCTACTATGATGATGAACATCATCACTCATGAATACAATTGGATTCACTGAATCTACAAGAGTCTCAGCTTTCCAGTCATAACCAATTTATGCAATTCCAATTCTGTTTATGGAATCCAGTATATAGTAAGTATCCATGTAGATGCATTTATACTGCATAGAAGCAGGACGACAGAGGACAGACCATCTCTAAAACTGCAGCTCTTGT